TATTTTATTTTTTTTTCCCAAAGTGCCAGGCAATCCATTGCCTTACACCACGCAGCCAGCAAGTCCAAGTGACATCTCAAAGTTCATTTATTTAAAAAAAAAAAAAAAAAAAGGAAAAAAAATGCGATGTGCCAAGCTCAGTGTATCAATACTGTACTGATCCCCACCACATACCAGCCACTGCATTACAGTGCTGTGGCTGGTGTGAACAAGCCCTCAAAATGGCTTATGAAGTTATCTGTTTTAGCATATGGCCTATGCCAGCTAATTCTATGCTTTAATGGTTTTTGCCTTATGCATTTGGCGAAAACTTGCAGTGCTATATAAGTGTCGGTAAGTAGGGGCACCCATAATGTGTTCCTTGTCTATTGGGGAAAGGTGAGGGTCAAATCCTTGATATATTGTAGGCACACGAAATGGCTTAAACTTGGGTTAAAAAGTATTTCTAAAACCCCATTTGCCTAACACCACAGATTAAAGCGGTATTAAACCCAAAAGCAATCCTTTTATTATATCCTTTTATTATATTGCAGCTTACCAATTCTTAGATGAGTTGGCTGCATTAGTTGTGTTTTTTTAGGCTTTCTTTCCTTTATTTTCATCTGGTGATCCAGTAAGTGAGTATTTTTGTTTTTTGTGTTTTTTTGTTTTTTTCATTTAGAGCAAGCTGTTCTTCAAATGTATCATTGCTTGTTCTTTTAATCCATAAGGACTCCTGGAATTGTTCCTCTTCTTGAAATGCATCGCCTTCTTGATGTGGCTTTCATTTTCTAGAGTTCTGTTTTAATGTGTGTGTTTTTTTTTAATTATGTGGATTGTGGGCTCTGGCACAATTTTCTTACACCAATTCAGTGGATCTATTTACAACCAGAAGGTGTGCTCAGCTTTCATGATTTGTTTTCTTCAACCCAATTATTCTGGAGGCTCAGATTTCAGTGGAAAAAGGCAAATTAGTCCTAATAAACGTGGGGCTTTTGTTTTTTTTTTTTTTGTTTTTTTTTTTTTTTTTTTTTTTTTTTTTTGTTCTTCAGGGTCCCATGTCGGCTGCAGAATCCTAGAAAAGGCTCGTCATCCAAAGTTCTTTATTACAGAGCCTAATTGTTCATTTAGTGTTTTGAAGTGGAAGGTTACTATCTGCTGGGTGGATGAGGAGGTCTCTTGCCATGAAGTGCATGCTCGCATGTGGATGGATATTACCCATCGAGGGTGTTGGGGTAGTTGTATACAGACAAGTGAGCTCCCTTGTCCGCTGCTTGGGCCTGTTTTCCCAATTAGCCCCCCCCCCCCCTTTCCTTTTTTTTTTTTTTCTGGTATGGTTTGTGTTTTGTTTTTTCCTTTCCTGAACTGCTTGGGTTTATGAATATAAAATACTGTGTAGCTAAAAGGAAATTGGATTCCAGTGAGGGGCACATCTCGCCTACCCTCTTGTATTAGAGATTGCCTTGGTGTTTTTGTGCTGCTTGCTGCAACTGCGCAGGGTGTTTAGAGGAGGGGCTATAGCCCATAGGGGCTAGTCTTCAGCTCTATGCGGCTCCTGCATTTTAGAGCAAGTTCATTATTCCTTTTTAGAATTCTCTTCTAGGGCTTCATAAAATATAATTTCCTATTGGGTCGAGCAAGTATGTAGGTTAGCTTATTGTGCAGGCTGGAAAAATGCTTAATTTGCTTAAGTGTGTGTAAATGAAAAATAAATGCAGCTTTACTGCCCTATATTTTATTCTATAGTGCCAATCATTTTTTCAATGATTGCAGTCCAATTCTTCATGCCTGTTAATCTTGCCAAAATTCTTTTTGATGCTTGATCTGTACCACTACACTGCCTGCTTACTGTCTACCTCATGCCAGTGCAGACAGAATGATTTACAATGGCTCTTGCATGGAGCCTCGTTGTCATTTTAACTGTAAAGAATCCTGCATTGTGCATGTAATGCAGCTTAGTATTGCTTCAAACACTGCTGTGCTTCAGAGCAGAATGATGCTCACTTGACCATCATAAAGAATAAAAAAGGTATTTCTAGTGGAACGTTTGCCATTTGTGTTACATATACTTTGACTAAACACTATCAAATATGAAGCACAGAGCAAATTCCACTAGTCCAGTAGCTACTGTTTACATATCTTGAACAAATATGTAAAATTGTGGTGTAGTCCAGCTGTCCTACCTCCATCTTCTTTTATTTATTTATTTATTTATTTTTTCCCTGGATTCGTTGGCAAGTCAAAAATTTTCTTCATAGTACGTTGATATTGGCTGTAGTCCCACCCTGAAGGATTTCTCTCTGTTTAATCTGCTCATCATGATGGAGGGGGGGGGAAAGTACATAATTCCTCTTACAGTAGTTTTGATTTGTGTCTCCTTATTGGATATGCATGTCCAATCCTTTCACTCCAGTTGAGACACATGGAGTAACAGCCAAACCCCTCCTTTTATCTCAAGCTTCCTCACTGCTTGGGAAGGGTGGTGGTGTGCACCTAGAGTGCACTAAGTTAAACTTTTTAGGCTTGCAGAGTGACTGTAGGTTACCCCCCTATCCTAATGCTTATTTTTTCTTATTACTTTTCATATTAACTGCTCCCAAACTTTCACACATCCAAGCTCAGCTGTATGGCAAATGCTGTGGCAACACCCAATTCTACCTTCTTTTGGGTGCTCTGTGTACCCTGGCATGGGGCTAGCATCGTTGGGTGTATGGGCTCAAGACTGTTTACTTGGTTATTGGACAGAAATCTGATCTCCACACCAGAAAAAATGTGCTTCTGCCTCAGAAAGAATGAAAAAAGTCTTTGCACCAGCTGAGCTGGACTGCATTTAGACAAGTTCTATGGTAGAATGTTGATGAAATCCTACAACTGAAAACAAGCAGTGTGTTTCTGTGCACACACATGAACTGTCATTGATAGCTGCAGATTGCAAACTCTCAGACACCAATTGGTGCAGTTCCAATCATTAAACTGTCATGGCTGCCAATCGTAAATTGGAACTAAAGGCAAAATGTGTGTGTTTTTTTTTTTTTCCATATTAAATAGAAATAGAGGGTTATAAACCCCAACAATTTTTCAGAAGAAATCCCTTCAAAGTGAAGGAATTTCTGGTTGTCACCAGAACTAGTGCCCCATTGGAAGATTCCATATCCATTATTCTGGGATCAATCCAAAATTTGGTATTTTGTTTCATTTACAGTGATAACGGTAAACATGACAAATGGTGAGTGAATTTTCATAAGGGGCACAGACCATAATAAAAAAAAAAAAAAAAAAAAAACCTGACTAGTTTTCTGTTAGTTTTTTTTTTTTTTTGCTTCTAGTTTATCACTTAAATGATTACGGTAGAACAAAGTGTGTAAGCGTGGTTGTTTGCTTTTTTTGTTTTGTTTTTTTTTATTGTAAACAAATCTAAAATTGTAGTTAAAATTATACCTGCATGCATACTTGCAGATATGTGCTGCTTTTGCATTATCCATATTTCATAATATCCATATGCCAACGTGTAGCGTTTGTTAATCAGCATTAGTGGGAGAAAGAGAAGGGGCAAGTGATAATTGTTGCCTCCTCTGTGGGAATGATTTTATATCCCAGGAATGGGCATTTAAGCACATCCTGCATTTTCCAGCTGCAAGAATTGGCATTTCTTGCACATTGAATTAATGGGTGTGTGCAAAGAGCTGTGACAACTCAGCCTGTATATTGCAATGACAAGGCTACAGCTATTTGTGACTGTTCACACAGGGATTACTGCAGTGATTGTGGCTGGAAGCATGCAGAGTGGCTATAGTCGCCATCAGCCTGTCATTGCATTGTATGAGCTGAGTGGCTGCAGCTCCTTGCACACAGCTGCCATTCCAGATGCATGAATCTGCAGATTCATACTGCTGGAAATCACAGGGTGTGCATCTCCTGTGTAAATATAGCCTAATAGCAGTCCTATCTCCAGTCCACCATGTCTCCTGCACTCAATAACCACTTGTCACATGTTTTTTAAACAAAATGCAGCTGTCAACAAACTAGGGCAGAATGCAGGTCAGTACTTTGGAAAGCCACACTATTTTCTGTAGTGATGATATATGAGCATAATGACATACTATTGCCACGGTCACACGGGGTGGAATCAGCTTTGCTCAGCAGGGAATATGTCCACTGATCCCCTGCTAAGCAAAGCAGTCAGAGAGCAGACATGGAAATAGGCTTTTCTGCTCTATGGGCGGTTGTGAGTAAACAGACTGACTGTCCGTTTTACACCTGACTGCTCTCCAATCTGCCTGGACAGAAATGGGATGGAATGGATCCCCCTCTGTGTTTTGGTTGGATTGGAGGTAGGTGGGTGTAAACAGACACAAATCTGTTTACACCTGCCAGTCCGCAGGAATACATGGCTATCCTACCTGGTCCGTCTGGGAAAAACGGTCAGGCAGACCTGATTGCATCGCCCCTGTGAAAGGGGCCTGAGGAGGAGGTGTGGAAAGCCTACAAGACCACCAAGCTGTTCAATCTGCAGAGCTCAAACCAGTGGGATGAAGAGCATCCCAGGTCTTCCTGCACAGCTGCTGGAGTCCCTCTGTCAAAGTGACAAGATGCATAGTTTTTGCAAGCATGCATTCAAACCTTTAACTTTTTCAGATTGTTTGCATTATAAAAAAAACCTTTTAATTCTGCTTTAAATTCCTTAAAAATATAAAATGTATTTGACCATGGTCTGAGCAACTAAACTTAAATTTTTTTTTGGTTATGAAGAAGTTGTGTATTGCTAAATTCAACAACTTTTGTTGCCATTCTAAAGAACTGTCTCCATGGTCCTGGCACTGAGCAGCATCGAGCTCCAGCTTCAGACCGCTTTATGCCACAGTGTTGACCATTGAACAAAAGATGCCAATGCTGCGTCCTTTGCTTGTGGCTTTTTTTTTTTTTTCCTTCCTTTCTTTTTGTTTTATACCTATGATTACTTAACATGTTCTTTGTGGTTATTTGTTGGTCAGTGTGTAGTCTCATGCAGTTGTGTTTTTCAGCCCAAGTGGGAAGAAATTCCGCAGTAAACCTCAACTGGCACGATACCTTGGCAACTCGATGGATCTCAGCACTTTTGACTTTCGAACAGGAAAAATGTTGATGAGCAAAATAAATAAGAATCGACAACGCTTGCGGTATGATGGGCTTAATCAAGCAAAGGTAATTTTTTATTCATTATGTGTGAAATTTAAAATAAGGAGACTTAAATATGAAAGCAAAGTACAATTACATTTTAATATTTAAACAGAGCATTATTAAAACAAGTTGTAGTTTTTAACCTGCTCGGAACAGTACTGTGAGCTTTTAAGTGTGTGATAGTTTGCATTTCCCTAATTGGTTTTAAAAGTGTTCTGTTTTTTTTTTCTCCTAGGAAATGTCACACTTATTGAGAAAAGATAAACTGCATTGTATTTCTCTCTCATGAGGAATACTTATGTATAGAGTCAATGTCCAGACATGCCAATTTAATCCCAGGGGGAACCACATCATGTAAAATATGAAATAGATCTTATCTCGGACATCTGAAGACAATGTGGTTATAGACTATTAAAGTTGGCCATAGATGAGTCTTTGTGGGTTTTTTTTTTTTTTTTTTTCCCCCAACCAGTGGGTTGATGGAAAAAGTGAAATTTTGTGTGGTGGATTTTTGCAACAGTAAAGTAGGTGGTGAAGTCAGACACTGTAGGAAAGGTGTTCGTGGAAGAAAGAGAAGCGGACACTATGCCCCCTTGAGGCTGAGTATGGGTAAAACATTAGGTAGGAGCTGTGGGTAGCTTTTGTGTAATTGGGGACAGAATGTCAATTATGGATTAATGCCCCTAGCTGCCAGTCTCTCTGCCCAGTGACCGTTAATACTAACTGGCAAAAGCATGCCGAATTGTCAATAGTGCAGCTACCCACTTTAAAGAGTTAATATAGTTATATTTATGGGGTCCGCTATTATGTTCCCATGCAACTCCTTCTTGTACTGTATTTGTTTCAAATTGCTTATAAAATGCTAAATAGACCACTACAGGGCCATGTCACACAGAGCTACAGTAGAGTGAAAAAGAAAGCTGTTTGTGCTCAGTCTTGCTGGAATTTTGTTTAATCTTTAATGGCTTATTTCCCATGGGCACAGACAACCATACACCATGAAAAATGTATGTTTCTTGCACAAGAGTGACAGGTGTTTGCATACTGCCACCTGTGCAAATCAGTGACCGGCTGTAGCTTTATATTGATAACCACACATCTTGGTGTTCACAGGCCTACAGGGACAGATGTGCATTTAAGGCCGCCTATACTTTTCACCTGGTACTTCTGTCAGTAACACACATCTAGTCCTAGGATGTCAATGCTTCCTCACCCTTCTGTATCAAGGTAACAGAAAAAGGGTTACAGAACCCCTTTCCTATTATCCATAACCTCCTCCTCCCCAGGTGCTTTAAAATGCAAAGAGGTATGCACAGCAGCTAGACAAGCCCTGTTTGCAAGTAGCCTTAATGGTATGTAAACCCTTACAATGGGCTTCTCTTCTTTGGTACTTTTCGGTCTGTTAAATATACTATTTAAGTGTTGTTTTTTGTTTGTTTAAAAAAAATAAATAAATCTGGTCAGATATCTTGTGAGCTGAAAACTATTTCCTGTACTGACCATTATCAGTAGCATTGTTCTCTGAAGACTACAGTACCGTGCCCCTTTTTGTTATTGATAATAGGAGAGGGGCAGAGTTTTGTAGCCCTATCTTCTGTCTGTCATGAAACAGGCTTGCAATTTTCACCCTAGGAATGGAAATGTTACTGGCAGAATCATGAGATGAATATAAAGGGAGGGGAAAAAAAAAAAATCTTTTAAAAAAAAAGTAAAATGAAAAACAATTATTCAGCTGTCTCATCTAAGGACTTGTAAGCAACAATACATAACATTTTTAGTTTTAGATAGGCTTTAAACAGAAGATGTATAATATACCTTTGTTTTCAGGGTAAGCCTGATTTGAACACTGCGCTCCCAGTCCGGCAGACTGCATCCATCTTCAAGCAACCAGTCACCAAAGTGACAAACCATCCTACCAACAAAGTGAAAAGTGACCCTCAGAAAGCAGTTGACCAGCCACGTCAGGTGAGAACTTTATCCCTAAAAGTTGTGAGCAGTCACTGTTAAGTGGTTGTAAAAGGGCTGTGTTTCTGAACAGAAGCTAACAGCCCTGGACTCAGGATCAAGCATGCACAAGGAGCCCCATAGGAAGTGAGGGGAGGGAGGGAAGAGACAGGAGCACCAGCAGGGGACCCCAGATAAAGAGGCTTTGAGCTGCTCTGTGCAACACTATATGGTCCAGGTAGGTAGGACATGTTGTTTAAAGAAAGAAAGCTTTACAATCAGTTTAAGACCCATAGGGGTTTATTTACTAAAGCTGGAGAGTGCAAAATTAGGCTTACTTCTGCATAGAAACCAATTGGCTTCTAACCTCAGCTTGTTCAATTAAGCTTTCGCAATAAAGTCTGGAAGCTGATTGGTTTAAATGCAGAAGTGAGCCTGATTTTGCGCACTCCAGCTTTAGTAAATAAACCCCACAGTCTCTATTAAACTCAGTGGTAGATCAGCAGTAATCTGTGCTATAAAAATATTTTGTGAACATCATTTGAATATTTTAATTTGAAAGGGCCGTCTAGTATATTATATGGTATTATTTCAGGCTCCTTGATACTCCTTTTATCGTAAATCAAAAGAACACGACTATTAGTTGTCCTGTGGACAGATTCTCCCACCTGCGCTGTGGATCTCTGCAGCTCATCTTGCTGAGTTACCATGGGTCTCTTGGCTGCAGTTGTACCATACTATTTCCATTTGCGGAGGATGGATTGAACAGTGCTCCATGAGATGTTCAAAGCTTGGGTTATTTTTATAATCCCTGCTTTAAATTTATCCACAACTTTATCCCTGACCTCTGGTGTGTTTCCTTGGCCTTCATGATGCTGTTTGTTCAGTAATGTTCTCTAACAGACCTCTGAGGGCTTCACAGAACAGCTGTATTTATACTGAGCTTAAATTACACACAGGTGGACCCTTATTTACTAATTAGGTGACCTCTGAAGGCAATTGGTTCCACTAGATTTTAGTTAAGGGTAAAAGAGTAAAGAAGACTGAATACAAATGTACGCCATACTTTTCACATATTTATTTGTAAAACATGTTGAAAACCATTTCTCATTTTCCTTCCACTTCACAATTATATGTGTTTTGGTCTATCACATAAAATTCCAATAAAATACATTTACGTTTTTGGTTGTAACATGACAAAATGTGGAAAATTTCAAGGCGTATGAATACTTTTTCAAGGCACTGTAGATAGACCTCATTCAAAAGGCAGATGAAAAGAGCCTGGAAAACATGCCAAAAGCTGCAGAGAATAAAACCTAATAACTTCATATAAAATACAAATTGTTGCAGTATTTCAATTTTTTACCAGATGTTTAGTTCTTGTCAAAATAAATATATTTACATGATATCATAGAAATATTGCAACTACTGTATTTTGCTATTGCTGTCTAAATTTGTCAGGGGAGGGACATTTTTTTATTAAGTGATCTTCGAGTGAACCATTGCTTCACACATGCTGAGCAAAGTGATTTTACTTTAACTTTCCCTACTCCAATGCCTTCGGTAATAATTTCTCTTTTCACAACTGCAGCTTTTTTGGGAAAAAAAACTTGCTGGTTTAAATGCTTTCGACATAGCGGAAGAGCTGGTGAAAACTATGGAGTTGCCAAAGGGACTGCAGGGTAAGTGTCTGTTACCAACCTCTGAAAAGAATATAGTCTTGGCAATGACCCCCCAAATATTAGGGCTTTTTTTTTTTTCTACTTTTTTTTTTTTTTTTTTTTTTTTTTTTTTTACTTTTTAAGAATAGATTCAGACAAAGCTTTAGTTTTTGATGGCGTAGGAGATTCTCCCCCACTTCCTCTCTTGCTTGTTGCATGGAGTGTTCCCAAACAAGCCTTTTCTCAAGACTAACAGATATGTTTTACTGTTATCTGTCCCCCTTTTAGAGATCTAACCTGTTTGGAACATAGCAGTAAACACTGACAGAGGTTTACCCTTTTCCCCTTATTTTAGAATGATGAAATAAAGTTTTGGATTTAGGAAAGTGTTACTGACATCTCCCCCCTCTTACCAATGTCATTAGCTTCTGCCTTGTAATGTAAGAAATCTGCAAAATTTCTTTCTTTAAAGGAGCCTAGAATAGTGCTTAAACCCCTACAGTTTTAAAAATAATAAGTAAAATATCCCAATATTTAGACCTGGATCGTCATTTGTCAGTCTTTAAGGACTACTCAGCCTAGCCAAATTACCATTTGTGTTATAAGATAAAATGGTCTTTATCAATCATGGGTAAAAATGGGGAAGTTCTAGAAACATTATGGAACTGAGCATCTTTAAACCACTACTTTAGTTTCCATGTCTAACTATCTCTATATTTGAATGAGAGTGGCTCAATTTGGTATTAACCCCAAAACAGAAATTGAATGTGACGCAGTTTACCAATCCACAAATGTTGTGGTTGCATTCGTTTTCCTTTTTTTAGTAGTTTTTTTTTTTTTTTCCCTCCCACCTGTTTATCCTGCGGGTAAGTGTTGTTTTTTCAACAGACCAAGCTGTCCCAACAAATGTGGCATATCAAAAGAAAACTCCTTCAACTGGGCACACATAGCACTGCAATACTGAGTCAGGTTAATTTAGCTTTGTGCCCTTAAAGTGTTCCTAAACTTGGGACCTTGCATTCACTATATCTGGCCTCCCACAGTAGACAGAACATGAAAATTATTTTAGTAAATATAAACTGCTAAATACCTTTTCTCTGTTTCAATATATTTTTATTAGGAAAGTTTTTTGTTTTTAAGAATATAACAAGCTCAAAATACGCCCTCGCAGGGGCAGAGCAGAACAATAACATAAACAGAGACATCCTGCTGACTTGTATTAGTCAAATAACGAAATGTCCAATGACATCAAAAAGGGATGGCAAAAAAACCGAGCCAAATAGCAGCAGTATTCCAACATAATATCAGAAAAGAAGAAAGGTTAGAAGAAAAGAAAATAAAACAAAAGGGAATCAGAAAGAAAACCTGAAACAAAGGAGGAACTAGAGGGATCACGGATCCGGCGCTATCACAGGCAGCGACTATAGGAGGCCATAACTAGTAGGAGGCAGGGATGGTAAGGAATAACTTATCCAAGGTTCCCAAACCTTAAGGAATCTCGGATGAGAATCATGAAGAATGCTAGACATCTGTTCATTGAACAACATAGCATTCATCTGGGTCTTCACTCCCTGGAAGGCTACCGAAGGGGTTCTCCAAGCTTGAGCTATAGCATGTTTGGCCGAAATGAATAGGTAGGATGCCAATTTCTGTTGAGACCTAGACAGACCCAAAATTGGGCAATGCAGGAGGGCCACCTTTGCATCCCTACGGACCGTAATATGAAATAGCGTTTGTAGCAAACCAAAAACCCTAGACCAGAAGCCTATCAATCGCGGGCACGACCACCAAATGTGCAAGACGTCCCCGTGTAGACCACAGTTCCGGAAACGCCGATCTCCGCCAGTCGGATTAAAGTGAGCAGTCCGAGCCGGGACCCAGTACCACCGTAGTAGAACTTTGTAGGCTGCCTCAAGAGTGACTGTAATGAATAAACATTTCGCCACCATGCTCCAGGCCCTACGCCAATCCTACGCCGCAGTCGAGAAACCCAGATCTCACTCCCACTCAGAGACATAAAACAGGGGTGGTGAGGAGGACCTATTGTTAAGGGAGGCATAAATGACAGAAATGAGACCAGGGGACCCTGGGGAATGCTGACAAGCGTGCTCAAAGGGCCTTTTGCGGTAAGGATATGTAAAGGTACTAAGTACCTTTTTCTCATCAGCAGTTAAAGCAGTCTTGTGACTTCTAGCAGAGCACTGGTTACAGCTTGTAGGAGGAGTTTTTTTCTGCTCTAGGAGGATGCAAAAACCCCTGACCTCTGTCTGGACAGTGCTGATTGGCCCTGTGCTGATCACATGTACTCTCCCAAGAAAAAAAAAACCCCTCTAGCAATACATGCCAAACTGAGCTTGTGCAGTGTGTCTCCACACCATATGTGGCATATCCCAACAAATGTGGCATATCAAAAGAAAACTCCTTCAACTGGGTACACATAGCACTGCAATACTGAGTCAGGTTAGTTTAGGTTTGTGCGAGGGGGAAACTGGAAGAAGGGGGGATCAGAGAAGTCAGGATCAAACAGCCTTTTTTAAACAATGCAGAGGATTAACCCCTTAGGTTCCACAGTGAGTATTACAAGTATGCTTTATTGCATATAAAAATTGATTTTACTGTTGGGCTTAGTAACCCTTTAAGAAATGGCACATCTTTTCAGATACTGCTGGATCAAAATGATGAGGACTATTCTACTGTCAATTGAGTGTCACAGAAATTCAGAAACTGTGAGGTTATGCTGCCACCTACAGGAGGGTTAGTACTGGAGCAACACAAAAATTGCAGAAAACAGAGAACAGTCACTTCGTTACGGGTGACTCATGTTCCACTCACGATTCTGGGGGAATCTTAACCCAGAATTCTCGGAAGGAACAGTGCCTGTAATTTGGAACTTTATGCAGGCCATACATGGGTCGAATTCCAAAAGAATTTTCTTTAGAAAATTGGAAATTTTATGCATTTTTGTTAACCGATGGTGCCATCATTGATTTTGAAATTTGACCAAGCCTTTAGTTTCACCTCATGTTGCTACATAAAAGCATTTTCGTGGCTAAGAATTTTCTTTTCTTTCCGGGTCACAGCTCAGCTAAATTCTTTTCTGATTAACATTTATTGTAAAATTTCCCATCATTGATTAGAAATTGGTTCGTTTTTCAAAAAATTTCCAACATGACCGAGTACTCAAATTTGATGGTTGCTTGAAAATCGGCCATTGCTGTGGCCCACTAATGGCACAAAATTCGAACAAAAATTCTTAGAAAAGATTTTTGAATGAAAATTCTTTTGGAATTTGACCCGTGTATGGCTGGCTTAAGACTCCTAATGTAGGGTCTTCCTCATCAGTCTTTGTCAGCTTAGCTGGTCTGGATTGAAGCTTCACCTGTGTGAAATCTTAGCCTAACCCTGCGGCAGCCGGTTGTACCGGTCAGGAATGGGCCATTACCGCACTCCCAGGTCTATCCGGAAACTCGCAATGGATCTCTACAACATAAATACTCCAAGTTTGCTCACAATTTATATGGAGAGTGATTGAATGTTTGTTCATTGTTCAGATAGGCATTCCCCTACCCCCCTTCCCTCCCCCCCCCCCCCCTTTGCTGGGGGATGTCACCTGGGACTTGTGGAGTATGGTTTGATTTGTTCTGTTTTTAGAAATGTCTGTCTAATAAAGAAACTACTGTGTGCTATTGACCACCAGCCCATTGCAATTATTGTTTTTCAATAAAAATATACATAAACAAACCCATACCCTGGTTGATTCCATAACTAATCGAGTTTTTATGCAGTTTTTCATTGTGTTGGTGATTAGGGACTCCCGGTTCACTCAATTTAATTTACCCAAGGACCTTGAGGCTCCCGTTTTTTGAAGGTTTTGCAGCTTCACCTGTGACCACAAGAAATCCTTGACTACTTTTGGACTTTTATCTACTTGTTTTCCCTTGTTTTTGACACCTGCTAGCAGCATGTTTAAAGTGACAGCGCTGAAATTAACATCTGTGTTTAACATTCCCAAAGTGGGGCTGTTAGTCACAAGTCTGTGAACGAAGCCTAACTCTCTCCGTTCTTTGTTGGCAATAACTTTAATGTCAAATTTGTGTCTGATCTGATAAATTTCCTTGGATTCTTACAGCGCTGGTGTAGGTCCTTTTTTTTTGTTTTATAGATCATGAGTCAATCTCTGCAGTCTTGTCCTTCTAGTTGTGATAGCTTTTTACAAGCATCTAAACTTCTGACTAATATCTGTTCACATGCGTAGGGCTATCTGGCATTCATTGCAATGATGTGGCCAAGGAACAGCTGACTTTTGCCTAATGAGGGACATTGGGGTTTATTTACTAAAGCTGGTTCACTCAGAACCAACTGGCTTCCAGGTTTTATTGCTAAAGCTTAATTGAACAAGCTGAGGTTTGGAGCTGATTGGCTACCATGCACAGGTGCACCAGATTCTGAGTGAACCAGCTTTCGTAAATAAACCCCATTGTCTCTTTGAACCTGCTCTTGTGTATCTTAAAGGGGAAGATTGGCTTCTGCAGAGGAAGGAGGAATCACATCTGATTTTCTTTTTGTCTATGGCTTTTTCTATTACTTGTATAGTGTTTACAAATAATATATATATATATATGTGTGTAATATGTTAAAATTTTGAGTCCAGACCTACTAGCCAGGCACAAACCTTACTCTCCACCAGTTGCCCCACCCAACCTTGCCCAGGTCTGCCTCCAACCCCAGCCACAACCTGCCCCCAACCACGCCCCCTTAAAGCCTTTAGTATTGGGCTATTATGTTTAATCATCCTCAATGTAGCCTGCAAGGGGCTATAATGTATTTCGAACCAATTGACCTTGATAAGCAACAGGGCTTGCTGCTCTTTTGCACAAATATGTCAGATCCTGCAATTGTGACACTCTCAACCTAATTATAAAGATTTATTGCATTGCATATAGTTTGCATATCCCTCAGATTCGTGTAGCCCCTTCGGTAAGACATTGACCTGCAGTCAACAGAGCTCAAGCAGTTATGAAGACATCTGTATGCACTATTAAATTACACAGGTTATTATTTCCCTCATACATTTAGTTATCTTGATCTTTAATCATTGTATTCAGCAAATGCTATAGGATTTTTTTCTTTAATTCAAAATTCTATATTTAATGTTTGCTCATATCACTTTAAGAACTACAAAAGAAACTTTCTAAATGCAAAAATATCATTATTTTTTTTTTCTTGGGTGCTACAGGGTCTACTACAATAGGTGTATATCAAATACAAATATAATGCAGCTACTCTTATTTTCCTTATTTCTAGGGCTAATGCAAAAGTACAGTAACCATTAATTGTCAGTCTACAGTCACTAATCCGATTTCCATATCCTTAAATCTGATCTGTTGTTATGGGTTACTGCATATCAACAATGTCTTATTAAATGACCCATCTTGTGTTTAAGAACAATTAGCACCCCAATGTGTATTCTTGGGAGCGTGCAACTCTACACCAGTTATCCAAACACACATTTTTGTAAAACAGTAACTGCATAAAGTGACATTTTCACAAAAACCGCTACAAATATGACGACAAAAGGATGGAGAACAATCGCAGGGATTAGGACTTACTTGAACACTTGCCATTATGTTACCTAAATGTATTTGATCATGTTATTCTTCACAGCAAATAGCTGCCATTTCCCCTTTTAAAAAATAGACATCTCCTTTTTTAAAAATGGAGAAACCTGCTGATACTGTGGTAGGAATGAATAATTGCTTTATTAAGAGAGTGTACCTCTCCTTGAGTCCCCCGCCACGGTAGAGAGGGTGTCTCCTCTCAGCCGGGGAGAGCGGACCTCTCCTGCACGTGTCCCCTCAGTGGCGCTACAAGTGTAATGGCGGTGCCGTAGAAGCTAGAAACCGGAAGTTGTAAACCGGGAACTCGGCTTCACAATGAGGCTTGGAGCGCAGGTGCAGTCGCTCCATGCTTCATCTGCGCTCGCCACAAAGGAATTTCTCCTCGCATTGGGCGAGTGGCTTTTTCAAGTGTATGTGTTCGTGTCAAGAATCATATCCTATATCCCTGTATATTGTGTTTGCTAAGATACCCATCTAAGTGTGGTGGTGGTTTTTTTCTTTTTGTTTTTTTGACATTGCCCTGCCTTTTGCCATTTCAACCTGTGACAGGAGATCCAACTCTTCGTCATACTTGCAGGTAGGGGGCCTGTAGCATACATCCACTATTAATTTCCTCCTTTTTTCTTCTCTTTGAAGCTCCACTCATAGGGACTCCACCTCTCCGCTTGCCCTATTTGCAATGTTATCCCTCATGTTCACAAGCAAGTCATTCTTGCTATACAGGCATACCCCTCCTCTTCTTCTACCCCCCTGTCCCTGCGATATAAGGAATACGCTCTGAATATTTGCCTGCCAGTCATGTGAGCTGTCAAATGAAGTCTCTGATATTCCCACGAGGTCAAAATCCTCCTCGTGCATCAGCAGCCCCAGTACCTCCATTTTTCCTCATTAGTTGTTCTGTGGTTGTGATTATGTTTTGCCCATTCTCCCTACTCCCCCTTTCCCCCCAATGCCTCCATAAGCACTCTGACCTTCACTCACTGCAAGCCATCGCTTCTTCTGATCCCTCCCCCCACCACCTAGTTTAAAAGCCCCTACAGCTTTTTGGCCATCCTCTCACCCAACAGAGCTGCACCCTCCTCATGGTGCAGTCCACCCTTGCTATAGAGCCAGTAACCAACTGAGAAGTCAGATCAGTTCTCCAGGAATCCAAAACCCTCTTTCCTGCACCAAATCCTCAGCCACTTTTTAAGTTCCTGCTGCCTCCCTAGTGTGACTTGAGGTACAGGCGGTATTTTTGAGATTACCACCTTGGAGGTCCTTTTTCTTAAATATTGCCTCTTAAGACCCTGAAATCATTTTTAGGATATTCCACCTTCCTCTAAATTTTTCATTTTTACCAATATGTAGCATGAAAGCTGGCTCTTCCCCAGGCCCACCCAACAATCTGTCCATCCGATCTACCGAACCCGAGTACCAGGTAAATAGCATACCATTCAACGATCACAGTTTTTGTGACAGATTGCCCTATTTGTCCTTCTAATAATTGGGTCCCCTACCACCAGTGTCTGTTTAGGCCTGCCTGTATCTTTGCCCCTCTCATTACTGGTGCAGTCATTCCCCTGGCAGCTAGGGGAGGAAGACCGCTCCAGCCGTTCCACCCCTGAGCTGATATCCATCATGCCCATCATGCTTAGACCCCTAATATTTCACCAAAGTCCCCCATCAGGGCTTCAAAAAAAAAAAAAAAAGTTGTAAAAAAAAATTTAATTTATAAAAAAAATAAACTGCCACTGCCCTACTGACTCCAATCTCTGCTCTGCTGACACCATCCACTGTCCTATTGACATCATCCACCGCCCCATCGACACTGTCCACACACCGTCCACTGCCCTGACACTGCCCACTTTTAAGGTAGGCTAAGTTTATATTTTTTACAGCGACATTAGTTTTATTATATTTTTCTAGGCTGTCCTTACTTTTTAGTTAGGCCTTTTTCAGTTTATTTTTTCTTCTTCAAGGGGGAGGGAGCGCACAAAACCCTAGAGATCTTTGATCTTTCATGTTGGTCAGGTAGATCTCCACCTCTCACATGTTGCTTTAACCCTGTTTTACACTGTGTTGCTGGGGAAAAGCACATACTGCGTCATCCTTTTGTAGGTAATTCCGTAAACTCAGAGGGCCCAGGCTAGCCAGGCAGGTTCTTGTCCAGGCCTTCTGAGTTTATGATGGGGCAAGTTTGTAGTGGAAGTGGCGAGTGTTGGGGGTCAAGTCAGTTTTTTTTGCATCTGGCCCACAAGCTTCAATCTACACCTCTGGTTCAAAGTAAACAGAAAATACAGTAAACACAGAAACTTTTGTTACAAGCCCTTATTGCACTGCCAAGTTAGTAACATATTAGACTGGATAGAATGGTTCATGTCTGTAGACGTCCATATTTAGATTCACTTCAACAATTGGTACTTGATCCCCTCCTATAATGCAACTCTGTTGGTTTTGTTCTTAGGTGTTGGTCCTGGTTGCACAGATGAAACTCTTTTGTCTGCCATTGCTAGTGCTCTGCACACAAGTACTATGCCAATAACTGGACAACTATCTGCTGCAGTGGAGAAGAATCCTGGAGTTTGGCTCAATACTTCGCAGCCTCTCTGCAAGGCTTTTATGGTGACAGATGAAGACATAAGGTACAAAACTAAAATAGCTAGAAAATAAGGAAGTGTAATAGTGCTTCGTTTGGGAGCTAAGGTGACATTAATGATACAACACTTTTATTTTCCAAGGATGATTTGAGTCATGTGTTGTTGTTTTTTGTTTTTTTTGTTTTTTTTTTTTTTTGGTGCAGTTTTTCTGTCTTAACAGCTTTCTGCCAGCTGTATGCATATTTAACACAGCTTGGTGATGGGCTTCAATTTTGGGCCGCTGCATTTATGTATGTGTACAGCCAGTGCCACTGTTTTGTCTTTGGAGCACACTTGGTCACAGCTCGAACACAGTACAGGGGTACCAAGCAACGGCTCCTGGTTGTTTACAAACCGGAACCAGTGTGACATGGTCCCTTTTACAGCCAATTACCATTCACATGATCAGAGGCTGGCCTACTGGCCACCAGATTTGCAGTCTTGCAAAAACCCTGCATTAATAACTATATAAAAAAAAAAAACATTCACACAGAGCAAAAATTGAATACAAATAAATGGTATCGATAAAAAAATATTAATACAAATGTTAACTCATGAGTGAAAATTTTTTAAAAAAAAAGTGTCTGTGTATGTAAAACTCCACTGTCCCAAATCAATGGTAAAGAAACGGTGCCAAAGGAAATCCACTAGCCCACACTCACCAAATTAAATAGACTCCTAGCTGATAAAGCGTAAGAGTCAAACAAGCTTTTGAGGTAAGATGTTTCCTCCAAAATGTATCCCAAATAAGGAAAGATTTTTGCTTGACAATCTCCAAATGACAACCCACAGGGCAGATGAAATACAGAGAGACAATAGGGACACTAATAGTGTAATAGGAGGAGGATGGACGTATTACACTTTTAGTGTCTCTATTGTCTCTTTCCATTTCATCTACCCTGTGGGTGGTCGTTTGGAGATTGTCAAGCAAGAATCTTTCCTTGATTGGGATTCATTTTGGAGGATACATCTTACTTCAAAAGCTTGTTTTGACTCTTAAGCCCTATCAGCTAGGAGTCAATTTAATTTGGTGAGTGTGGGCCATACTGGAAGTCACAGTTGATTTCCTTTGGCACCGTTTCTTTGATTGGAGCACTTTTTCTTCACCATTGATTTGGGACAGTGGGCTTTTTTTCACACATATACTTGTTTCATGATTTTTTTTTTTTTTTTTTTTTTTTTTTTTTAAGCAATTTTTCACTGATTTTGTAAGATTTTTATTATTTTTTGATACTATTATTTATATAAATTTTTTGCTCTGTTAATATTGGTTTTAAGGTTTGATGTTTTTCATCTATTAACAGCAGCACTAATCTGGTTGGGTTCAGGCGCAGGTTTATTTTACAATATAAAATATTTAATTCAATTTAAAAAAAAAAAAAAAAAAAAAAAAAAAAGTCTCACGTGTTGTAATGTGGCTCAGCAACCACACCTAAGGGCTTTATATCCCTGTTCATTTAAAAAAAAAAAAAAAGTCAACTTTGCCAGGTCACACTACACAAGTGCCTATTATAAGCAAGTTGTTTCGGTACTACTAGAAAGATGCTAGCTCTGGTACTAGGACATTTAGTGGTGTACCATATGTCAACCAAGTGGAAGCCGTAAACATTTTAAACAGCTCTGTTAAAATTTTATTTAGCAGTGATCTTTTTCTTTTATTTCATTGTAATTGCTTATTCTATATTTTAGGAAACAAGAAGAACTTGTGCAGCAAGTGAGGAAAAAGCTGGAAGAGGCTCTTATGGCAGATATGCTGGCTCATGTAGATGAAATTTCAAAAGATGTGGGTCCCCCATTGGAAAAAGATCTAGATGATGAAGATGAGGATGACGATCCCAGAGCGCAAGTTGCAGAAGATGTATAAGACTGAGTTGTCTTGTTACTGCAATAAATACAAGACCTGGGACCTATTTTTATTATTCCACTCTTTTTGCCTCCTGTGGTTCAAACAGTACTGCATGCAAAATAACATTGTATGGCAGCCTTGGTCTCTTATTTCTTCTAGGTACTTTCAGCAGACCTGTTCTGATCAACTTTCATGACAAAGCAAATATGGGCAAATTTCTACTTTAAGGCTCACCACCTTTCACTAAAATTAACCTGTGAGTATTGAAATGTGGTAACCACCATTATTGACTTGGTTATAAAGGTGAACGCTCCAGGCTGTTCAGATTTTTGTTACCTAGCATACAGCCTTCAAAGTCAGAAATGGCAGTTTCCATATTTGTGCCCATACATGTTGAATTTTGGTGTGAAAAAATCATGATTTTCATGTTGACACAATTTCAATATTTATTCTTTATTTTTATTTTTTTCCTCAGGATAAACATTCCCTTTTTCATTCTATAGTAATGGCAAAAATGAAAAAAGTTTTTTGTTTTTTTTGTTTTTTCTTGTTAGTGTCAAACAACAAAAAAAAAAAAAAAAGCTGTCATTACCTTCTGCTATGGCAGAATGTTGGGCCATTCTGAGCAGGTTAAAACTTTGGCGCTTCTGGTAGTGAGAGAGCTTGCCTGCTCCCTCTAGACTTACTAGACTCACTCTAGATTTGTATTCTCCAATGAAGCAGTCCTTTAGAGTAACGAGCTAGTAGGAATGTAGAGGGAGTGCTCTGACTGCACCTATGTCACCTTTTTTTTAAAAAAAGCTATTAATGTGGCAGTCTCTTTTAAATGCAATCCAGGAAAACCTGGTAAAAGTTGTGTTTTTGAATGTTCTTAAAAAGTTATTTGCTAATTGGTATTACTGATTTTGCTAATATGTGAAAGGACATGAACAATGAGTTTGCTAGCTGCCACAGGGGAGGCAATTTCACAATCGTATTCCTTTGTTTGCTTTAATGCAAGCGGTACTATCGGTGATGAATTATTTTCCTCAAGATTGTTTTCATAGTACTGTCTTTAATTTTTTTTGCAGTTCTTATACCATTCTGGAAATGTTACTAGGATGTATGTGTTACATCTTACCAAGATACAGAATATTTACAAATTAGAAATATGTTTTGATAAGCTGTCAGCTAATTCTTAATAGGTCCACCCCCTCACAGGGGAGGTGTTTGTCATGTTTGTAGAATGATTTGTTTGAATTGTGAACCTTTATATTAAATAGAGGGCACAGAATGGTGCTATTAGGTAGATTTCAATTTACTAGAAAATGGATATTTGCCATACATATCTCTAATATGTTGAACTTCCAGCCTTGATTCCACCCACCCTCACACCCACCTCAATACCCTACAAACTCGCATCTCTACAATATAACTCATTAGAGTTGCAGCAGCTAACTTAAGCCCGTCTTAATTTACTGTCAAAACGGCATCTATCATTCATCAATCACCTCTTTTCCTGACCCATACTTTGCTTACCCCTGTCAGCTAATGGTTTACTCTGCCATCAGACTTTGTTTCCAAGCATTATTCGAAAGAACACATCCCTGACTAGCTTTAGACATGCTGACCAGTTGCTTGATTAGAAATCAGTAAAGTTAAGTCCATTCAGACAGAAAATAAAGAAAATACAAATAAAGTCTCCAGCTTCCAGTGGCCATCAGGAAGGAGCAGGGGCGGACTGACCATTTGGAAACTCGGACACTGCCTGAGGGTCCAGGGTAAGTAGGGGGCCCCAGGAGATGCCCCTGGTACCTTTTTCATAGGCTTTTTTGAGTTTGGGCAAGGACACAGGTGCCCTATGATCCCCCTATTGCCCGGGGGCCCCATGAGTTGTCAGTCCACCCCTGGGAGGGAGCATATACCCTTTTGAAAGGGTGTTGGGCATGTATTCTTTCATATAACGCTGTGACTCTGAAAAAACATCTGAGGCCGGGTGTTAACCTGCCTGCCAAATGACCAGCATACATATTCAGTGATAATCACTGGGTCTTAAGGGTTACTTCTCAAAAAACAAAATCATTTGAAAAATTATGATTGCATTTGCATGTTGATTGGGGGCGGCAATGGAAGGTATTTTATTTGTGTGCATTACTTTTCATTGTTAGAATAAATGCGGTATATCAAAAATTGGCAAGCACATGAAGTCAAAAGATGCAGTCAATCCTAGATTTAAAGAAAAAAAAAAAAAAAACACACGTACTGGAATTTTCAAAAGCTGAAAGACTGTCCAGGCAGAGTTGGTGTTAAATGTATATAAAAAGTTTCATGAAAAACAATAGTGGGAGTGTGTAGTTATATACAGTTTGTTTTTTTTTATTTACTTTACTCTGTGTTATGTGGTGCTGTTTGCACCAAGGTTTTTTTCATGTATAAATATTAAAACATTTGTACAAATTTCAATAATGTGCTTACTTTCATGAAAACGTGTAACTAAGCTATTGGAGTGTACAAACAACTGAATAAATTTTAACTTTTACGGTTGCCACCATTTTAGATCACGTTGGTTATTCAAATCAAATTATTAGAATGAATAGTGGTATTTCACTTTCTAAAAATTTATAAACAATGTTTATCCACAGTCTATTTATTGTACATTTATCAGAGTTAATTCTTAGACTACTGGTGTCTGCTCCACTTCCAAGTGATTGGATGCCCAGAATAACCCCTGAAATCACTAGAGGGTGTATTTGCATGAATGTCTTTGAGAAGCCATTTGGCATTTTCAAACTTTGTGCAGCCAGCTCCAGCGCCGGCATACCTCCAGTCACTGGCTCACCCCCCGGTCACCGGTTCACCTTCCATCACTGGCTCATCAGATGACTCCTCCATAGAGGAGACCATATCCACGGGACCTCTTGCTGCTGCAACACTCCTGTTTCTTGCCGCTTTAAAGCGGCTGTCATTAACATACTTCTCCTTCGGAGCTCCACTCTTCTTTTTAAGTGCCGCCACATACTTTGTTTGCAGAGAGACCCTCTGCTCTAAGGCCTCCAGGCTAGGCTTCATTGCCTGTCTCTTGGTGCGCCACACACGGTCATAACTGAAACGCAGCTTTTTAAGTTCCAGACTTAATTTGGCCTCCTCCTCCTTCTCCACCGTCTTATTCCGGGCGACCATACGGTCTCTGTACTCCGCATGACCTTCCCCCTTCTTGGGCGGCCGTTCCCAGGTCCTCCTATAGGTGGAATGCAGGGACCGGTACTAGGTCCCTCAGGGGGCCTTCCTCCGGCAGGGCCAGGCCCAGGAGCAGACATCCTTCCTGGGCTGGCTGGGACAATCAAGCCCCTGGCTTTTCAGGCCTTCCTGGAGCTCAGCAGATCAGCCTTCCACACAACCTCTCCACACGGTGTCAGGAATGGAGATATTTTATTTATGTATTAATGTCATGCATACCAGCCATCACATTTTTTTTTTATAAGAGTAAAGTATAAACATAACCCATAATGTAACCAAAAGTCCAAAGTCCCTGAGGAAAAAAAAAAATATAAAAGAAAACAAGGTATGCCGTCTATGCGGCTTAAACCATAAAATCCCATTCCTGACACAAAGGAAGGAACAATAATAACTCAAAGGCCTTTATGGCCGAGAACAAGGAGCAACAAACCTGCTGTCCCCATCATGCACGTAATAGAACATTGCCCAATAGGACACTAAACTTATAAAGGGGTCTATATGACCCAAAGGTCAATAGTAAGTGCATACAATTTCCATTTTCCTGCTGCAAATGGCCTCACGGCCCATACCTAACATAAATTATGTATCAAATTATCAAAAGAAAAAAAACTAACACAATACATACCCACTGAAAAAGAATAAGAAACATAGACTGGAGCATCTGCAGCCTTCCATCAAAAAGGGATGTTCATTTCACAAAATCTAGGGGGGGGGGGGGGGGGGGTGGGGGGGGGGGGTGAATAAAGGAAGGAAATAGGGATAGACCCCACCACCCGAGATCAACAGGCGGCAGCCACAGGCTCGATGTTCCTCCACGACTCCATCCAAGCCTTCAATCGCCACCTGCCTTTCTCAAGGCCCCGACTCTTCCCAACCTCACCAAGTATGCCTCGCACCACCTCCTGGACAGGGAGGACTTTCTGCCGAATAGAGACCTGACACCGTGCATTCTACGTGTAATAACGGATCACTACACTAAGAATAAGGTGTCCAAATCAAAATCCCGGCAGCTGTCGAATGCCCCATACACACACTCTGCATAAGACATGCAATGGAGGAAAGGGACACCCAGAGCCCCACCCACCTCATTATATACTTCTACGTTGAAGGGGCACTGAAGCAAGAAGTGGTCCATACTTTCCACTTCACCCTGACATTCCGACCTTGGACAAACCACGGTCATCCAGAGGACGGTACTTCAAGTTACTCCTTACGTAAAGCCTGCCATGGAAGGTGAGCCAGGCCAGGTCCCTAAACTTCAAGGGAATCCATTCTGAATTTAACAAACGTAAACCCTCCCTCATAGTATGGCCCGGGCAATCCTTCAAGGCCAACGGTGCATGGAAAGCGATCGCCACAATCCTCTCACCCAGGAGCCTCCTAGGGAGGGATCTGACCTCCAACACCGTCACATGCCACCGCCGGAGTAACTTCAGGCACGGGGCTACATAAGCCGGGAGCTTACGGTGCTTGACCCGCAGGCTTCTCACTGGCCCACCACTCTCCCAACTGTTCAGAAAGGGTCTAAACCAGACCTGGAAAAGTCTTACCCATGCAGGTGGTCTCTCTGCCAGCATATTACCAAAGTTATGTTTTAAAAACATCAGAGAGAAAAAGACTACTGGGTTGACCATACCTAGGTCACCCTCCCGCCTGGTTGAGTAAGTCACATCCCGCCTGACAAGGTTCAGCCTGTTCCCCCATAACATCTGGAAGAAACAGCTGTAAATCCTCGTATAGAGCGATTCTGGCAAGAGGCAGACAAAGCTGACATATAAAAAAACTGGGATCAGAAAGGTCTT